ATGAAAGAGGAAGAACCAGCTGAGGGCAAGAAGTCGGAAGACGATGGCATTGGAAAAGAAAACTTGGCCATCCTTGAGAAAATTAAAAAGAACCAAAAAAAAAAAAAAAGAAAAAAAGAGAACCAGAGGCAAGATTACTTAAATGGTGCAGCGTCTGGCTCAGTGCAGGCCACTGACTGGCTGATGAAGGAGCTCAGGGATGTATACCGGTCAGAGAGTTTCAAAGGCAAAACTACGCAGTTGAACTCGTGAATGACAGTCTGCACTTATGCTTCTTTGGAGGAGTGTCAGTCTTTGCCATCACCTTTGCACATGTGTCTCTGGCTCCTTCAAGCTTCTAATGCAGGCTCTTCAGCCTTCTAACAAAGAGCCTTTGGCTTTCTGATACAGACTCACACTGGACTGTAGGGAGCACCAGGCTTTTAACTTTGATCTTCCCCCGCTCCAGTGCACAGGCAACTGTTTTTCAGTCTTCTACCCATGACCCAACAGGCAGCCATTATAAACCAACTTTGTAAGTCCTTTAATATATTTTATATTAAATCTGTTCCTCTAGCAAGCCCTAACTGATATGTCAGAGCACTTGTGAGGCTGAGGGAGGAGAATCACTGCCACTTTGAGGCCAGCCTGAACTACATAGAGAGACCATTTCAAAAAACCCAAAAAGAACAAAGAAAAGAAAAATAGATTTTAATGATAATATTATGTACAAAATTGATGAAGAGAAAGAGGGAAGATTTGAAAGTATATGACAGGGGAAGGACAGAGAGAAGAGATGGGGGAATAAATGTGAGAAAATATATAGGGAGATTGACTCCAATTAATTAACAAAAAAACCCCCCAACTTTAGCAAATCTTGTGATGTGGGAGAACATAACATCATGCAATAAGACAGTACAGAATCAAAAGCAATAACTAACACAAACACACTTAAGTCCCCCTGGGACATACAGAATTAAAACAAAACAAATCAAGTCCGATATTCCTCCTTGTCCTGGTGTATATAATAAAGTCAATTTTTAGATGCCACCTGATTTAAAAGGGACATATGAAAATCTTTATTTTTAGTTCTGTCCCTCTGCATAAATAGGACAGACCATTTAGAGCAGGCGGGAGTCTGAGCTTTACACCTCTGTGGTTGTGGATGGGTACTCAGGTAATCCACTTAATGCTTTTCTTACCTGGGAATGAGAGTGAATAAAGTCTGCGTTGTCCACTGAAAGTGTCACTAGGTAGTCCAGAGCAGTGGTGGCAAACCTAGGGCACCTGTGCCACAGTGGACTGTTTGTTATCATCAAAAGCTCTAAGAAGTTTGCCATTACTGGTCTACAGTGTAGCCTAAAGCTTCATAAATTTCAGACTGCTCTTTTGGAGGCATGGTTATCCAATATCCAGGCATTTCTGTTTTTATTCTGAATTCCTCTCAGCAGATAGGAGGGTGTCAGCCACATAGGGTCTGTATATTGGGGGCAGTAGTGCTTCTACTGGTCCCTGGAAGGATGAACCCAGACTCAGACTCCCTCCCACTGTGAAACTCCATACAGATGAGCATGCTGTTTGGGGTATACACTTACTGCTGCTTTTTGGTATTGTTTGTGTGCCCTGATGTGATTCTCCAGGCCCATAGTTTTGCCTCTTATGAGCTGGCAACTGGAGTCTTTCTCCTAATCTCATGATTTTAGTGTAACTGTATCACAGTTCCTTTTTTTCTGGGCACATGATAAGACTTAGGACAAATATCTACTTCCTCCCTGTAATGTGGTTACATCTTGGGGCCATAGAAAATGTAGGAATTTGGGGGACTAGGCAGAGAGAGTAACTCAAAATGGCTTCCTGCCCCAATTTTGCTTATATCCATCTCCTACCTGTTCTACTGAGTCAAGGGGTGGGAATGAGCTATGATAGTTTTGCAATGCAACCCTAACCCTAAATCTGGAAAGCTATGAGAGCTACCACTCTTTCACTCTTCATTTGGCTGTACTCAGATCTCTTCTTTGCTGAAGTTGTATCTCTGTCCAGTAGCAGACTTTTTGCTTTGACCACTGTACAGGAGGGAAAGAACTATTGACAGGCTATGTGGGCAGGATAGGATCACCTATCAGTCAGACCCACTATTTACTACCAATGTGCAATATGATTGATTGTGACTTATGGTGAATTTTCTCTAGGAAACCAACATTATCTCTTCTTCAAATCCAGCCTCTCTTAAGTTTCTGTGTGTACTTCTGAATGTCAATAGTGGAAAAGGCCTACTATTTTTTGACAAACAAACATCCCACATCTGTTGTAAAACAGTTGAAAAATAACATATTAAGGTGAAATTGGTATGCTGGGGCCATGCCCCAGAGATGAATCCATGGATAGAGGAAGTAGAGTGCAAGTGAATTTATTTAAAAGATAGAAAAGCAAAGAAGTAGAACTTTCACTAGCCAAGAAAGTATCCTGAGTAGGATACACAAGTAGGCTCTTTGTCTATTGGTTTTGAAGGGTTTAAGAAGGGAGATCAGGCTATACATCAGATATGATGTATAATCTATAGGAGACCACATACTTTTCAGCATCCAATTTACGCAATGTTCATTCACTGTCCGTGTAGGGTCTATGTGCCCTTGAGGCAATAGTCTGCCTGATCATGCTCTGGGGAGGTCCCTGTCAGCCACTGGCCACATGGAATATCTTTTTGTAAGAGTTCTGGAGAGTGGTAACTCAGCTGACTCTGTTTTGGGCTTCCTGGCTCAATTTTGGGGCTCCTGTCCTTACTACCTAATGGAATCTCAACTCCTGTTTTACTAATTCCTGTCCCAGAGGAACACTCCTTTTACCTGTAGCCTCACTCCTTTTACCTGTAGCATGACTTCAGCTCATGCTTATCCAGGACAATGTATTATGCTAGCCTAAAGAAAAAGATTTTAATGTATGCCTAAACTATTATTATGGATTTAAAAATATAACTTAAAAAGATAAGTAATGACTAGCATTTCTGATTGTGATGATTCATTCTATTTGTTGGGAGGATAGAAATGTTATGTAGTTCTCCCTTAGTAAAAAAAAAAAAAAAGTCTACTGTCCTTTAAATTTTGGAAGCTGAGCTTGTGAATTTATTTATTTAGTTAGTTATTTATTTGCTACCGGGGATTGAACTCAGGACCTTGCAGCTACGAGGCAGGTGGCAGCATCATTGAGCTAAATCCCTGGCCCAAGCTTGTGCATTTTGTTCTGCTCTTGTCATGGTTTAGATCTAAAATATTCATGACAAATCTCATATGTTTGAAAGGTGATTGGATCATGGGAACATCATACTCATCAGTGGATTAATCCATTGATGAATTTATGGCTGAATGTAGTGCTAGGAAATGGAGCCTAGTTGGAGGTGGGCAGCTGGGGGCCTGACCTGGAAAGGTGTTCTCTTGTCTCCAGCTTCTCCCTTCTCTCTTTGTTTCCTGGTGGCCATGACTTGAGCAGATCTCCTTTGTCACGCATTCCACCGTGCAGATTCTTCTGCGGAGCCACCTGAATGTGGACTAAACCTCTCTTCCCAATTTGTGGGTGCTGGGTGTTGTAACTCATGATGGAAAAGTGACTAACACATTTCTCTTACAAAACATCACTATAATAATAATAAAAATATTTTAAAGATATCAACTAAAAAACATAAAGGAAATATGGTAGTTTGAAAGCTCCTGGTTGGTAACTACCCAGGGATCTTAAGCTGCCAAACATTTAACCTTCAGGAGAAAGACCAGAAATCCTTATAGAAGTTTAACCAGACCAAAGAGAAAAGAAAAATAATTCTAGTTTCCTGTATCAGGGATGATCTGAGGCATCAGCCAGCTAGATTTTTTCCACAGTAACATATTTATTCATACCAAGTTGTACAAACATGTGCATGCTTTTTTAGTGGCCTACATTTAAAATCTAAGCATATAATGAAAGCTCATTAAACATTGTAAAAAAGTTATATAAGAGAAGAAAATAAAAACAACAATTTGGGAAAAACAGAAAACATGCAAGGAATAGAAAACAAACTGAATGAAAAACAAATAAAAGACTTAAAAAAAATGAATCTACAGGAAACATCAGTGATGCTAATTTAAAAAAGAAAAAAAGAACCAATGAGGGAAAGAAAAGAGCTTAATATAAGAGAAAAAAGAGTTAGAAAGCAATGTTGAGGAGGTAGATAAAATAAATCAAACTGAAAACTTGGATAAAAACAGAAAATTCGCTGAGCATGGTGGCACATTCCTGTAATCCAGTGCTTGAGAGGCTGAGACAGGAGGATTGCTGTGAGTTGGAGGCCAGCCTATGATTATACAGTCAGTCCAAGGCCAGCTTGAACTCCATGGCCAGATCTTAACCTAGAAAAAAAAAGAAAAAAGATAAGAAATAAATATAAGGACATTTAACCACTAATCTAGAAGCTTCAAAATCTAAGTAATTGAGATTCTGGAGATAAATAAAGCAGACAATTGTGGTAAGAAAATTATGAAAAATAATTCATGAAATATTTTCAACACAAAACCAGATATTCAGAAAATAATTTGTTATTAATTACCAAGAAAAATTGATAAAAAACCTACAACCAAAGCACATAAATGTGGAACCTAGGATGCAGTACACGGTGAAATAATTCCTAGAAGTTTCTAGAAAAGAGGGACAATTTTTCATCTAAAAGCTCAGCTATTAGCTGGTCACGAATAGAATCATGTTTCTCACCAGAAAACTAGAAAATGGTTTTCTTTCATAAATATCTTATATTCAACCTAGAATTCTATACTGAACCAAGCTTTTATTATGAGAGGAGAATAAACTCATTTTTTAGGCAGGAAAAAATGCATATATTTGCCTTGTATGGACTTTTTTTAGAAATAAAATTTCATTGACCTGAAGGAGTATACCAAGAAAGAGGAAGGCATGGGATCTAGAAACAGGAAGTATGATTCAAGGAAGAAATTTAGAGATAAAATCAATAAATAAACTCTGGCATAATGGTCCACTCCTATAACCCCAGAATTCAGCAAGGCTGAGACAGGAGGATTGAAAGTTTCATCTCAGCTTGGGGCAACAAAGTAACTTAGTGAGACTAAGTAAAAAGTAAAAATTGTTGGGGATGTACTTCAGTGAATCAATTAGTAAATAAAATTTTTAAAATAAGCAAATTATTAGCACCAAAGAAATAAAACAAAATACAGAAAAGGAAAAAAAAATCCTATCATTTATGGCCTAGTTATGAAATGCATTTTATGATAAAGTAATAATAATATATGCACTAGAAACTGATCTGAACAAAAGTTTTGTACTTTGCTATTAGAAGAATATTGGAGAAGGCATATAACATTTTAAATAAAATAATATTTTCATTATTTCTCTTATTTTTAAAGTGGACCATTTGGAAAAGAAGTAGAATGAGGAAGTTGGAAAACTTGAAGAGAAACTGCGACCTGATTGTCGCATGCACATATAATAGACATAAAGTGCATTTAAAAATTTTTTAAGAAGTTCTGTTAAGATGAATAACCATTGTTGGTCTATGAGAGATGGTGATTTCTTATAATGTTTGTATTGTCCTTTCAACTTGTATCCATTCATGTAATATGAAAACTAAGGTCTCAGTATCATTGTTTCAAGGATCAAATTTGCTGTAGGAAAATGAGCTGATTTACAAGACAAGAAAGGAATCAGACATTATAATTAGTTTCTTTTGCAGAAAATTAATTTTGAGTAGCAAAATATTTAAAAATAAATCCATTTATACAATTTTAGCCAGGATGGAAGATTTTTCACTTAGAGTAGGAAATGAAGAACTTGTTTTTAACCAGAATGTCTGATTTGGTCCAGTAAGTATTAAACGTTGTGTTTACTCACATGATGACTGCCTGGGACAGGATTTAAATACAGCCCAACTCGTTTAAACATAGATATAAATATATCTGGTGGATTTGGTGTGTCAAAGCTGTTAGATCCAACTGATGAATTCAGTGGTTCAAAAGGTTGTGTCAAATAAGGAAGAATAATTTTAAGTACTTTTTAATAACAATGAAAACTTTTAAAATTTCTCAATAGAAAAAAATAAAGAAGGGAAAACATCAGAAATACAGAAGAGTGGAATATAAATATAATAGTAAAAATAGCCAAAAGCTGTGCTATAGGAGATTAGCCAAACTTTGCCTTGTGAAACTCCGTCTCTGAAAAAGTAAACTCATACCAGCAGGCTGGTCCAGGAAACTCTTACTGCATTTTTTTAAACAGGCTAGTCCACACTCTGGAAATGTGAAAAACCTCAGTGTCACATTCAAAACAGAATTTCTCTTAGAGACTCTGAAGATCCTGATTTAAATTCTTAGTACAGCAGGGAAAAGTGCTTTTAGAGATTGACACATTTTGTGATTTTTGATTCACTTCTACATATCGACTAAGTGTGCATTTTATCATGAAGGAAAATAAATAAAGTGGATTAAGAGAAGGAAGGAAGGAATGGAGAGAAAGAAGGAGGGAGAGAGGGAGAAAAGGAATAAGAAAGGTAGGAAAAAGGACACGAGAGGATGGTGACAAGCAGGATGAATGAGACTGATGATTAGGATGAGGAGGAGATCGTGATGATGGTGGCAAAGGTAATGATGATGAAGCCTCAGATGGGCCTATAGAATCAGGAATGCCTGACACCTCAGACCTTACCCCTTGCCTGACAGGAATTTCAGTGTAACTGTAGAGTGGAAATGCACTCAGCTGTCAGGGTCCACATTCCAGAAAAAAAGAGCCTTGTATTCCCATGTTAGTCAATTATTTACCACAAAGACATGGAAGCTAGAACAAATGTCATGATGAAAAATCCTAGAAGGTTAGGCACGCCTCATGGTAAGAAGGTGAAAACTGGGCGTAGATAGTGAAATGAAGACCTGACACTATTGCTGGTAGTGGTCACTAATTGGTTCCTGTAAACAAAATTGACAGACAAGTACGATTTTAAAGGACCTTTGTGGCATTTTATTGTTCCTGACTTCAGAAGAAGTGAGAAGGCTATGTTGGTGCCAGTCCTGAAGCAACTGCAGTCCTCTCATTAGGACATAAATCAGGCTACTCATTTGGGTAAGTCGTGGTGGCAAACACCTTGATAAGCTCCTGTATGGACAGGACGTTCACCAGCACAATGGTTGACCGGGAGGTCTGTCCCCCTCTAAGGCATGGGTCCTTATCTGCCCATCCACTGGGATATGATGTATGTTACAGATTGTGTTCCTTTGCCTTTTCCGAAAAAGTGAAAAGTTACTTTTTCCTCTCTATTTTACCTTCAATGTTATTTTATCTCAGGCACTTACAATGTTTTCAGAAGGGTTGCAGTTGCCTCTTATTGATAGGCTTATAGAATCACAACCATGTATAATAGTTGAGAAAAATGGAAATCATTGAAAAATTCTGAGCTTAGAGCTAGAAGAAAGAGGGAATAAATTTCAATTGCTAAACTTTTTTCTTAGTAATAAAATCTGGATTTTTATATAATGCATCAATCTGCCTAGCTAGAAAGATAGTTTTTCAAGTTTTATTTTCAGACTTTATGGTTCGTGTGTTACAGTTTTGGTCAATAAAGTATAAGGTAAAATTTGACTGCTATTTCCATGAAAAATTTGCTTCTCTAATACTGGTTTTACCCTTCTACTTTCTATTTATTCTTCTTCCTAATAGCATTGTGGTTGCGAAGATAGAGCTGTAAATGCCAATTTACACATTCAAGAAATTCCTTTTAGAGAAATATGAGAATGAAAGACACATGTTAAAGATGGTAAAGAGAAAACTAGAAGAGTAGAGAACACCAAAGAGACCCTGTGTTTTCTAACTCTGGAATATAGATTATAGAAGAAAAATAAACCACAATTGGATTTGTTGATGCAATGATCTATAGGAAATATAAAAAGAAAAAGGAGTGGATAGGTTATAGTATACCAACACTGCCAGTAGGAACTATACAATACCCAAGCATTTATGGTAACAGAGTGCTTTCTGCAAAGCCAAAGTTTTGCTGTGTAGATTATTTATTACTTATACTTCTCATGTACTCTCTCTTATTTGAAAAATAACCCCTTCTTTTTTTGAAAAATAGCTCTATTTCCCATCATTACACACCCCACTTCAAAATGTTAGGAATAGAAGCCACCATTTTGTAAAGAGTTTGATCCCATGATTACAATAATTACTTAAGTTGAGAGCAAAAGACCTCCAACCTCTAGCTTCAGCCATGGCTCTAAAATGAACAAACCAGTCAAGCCATCACATTTCTTTCTAGGAAATTTTAAAGTAGGGTTAAGAAAATAGAACCTTTTCCATTTTTATCAGAAGTTTAATGAAATATTAATTTAGAGCTTTTATAATCCTACATGGAGGGTATTATAAAGTTGATTTAGGAAGAAAAATAAGAATGAGACCATGGAATTCTGACTGCAAATAAATCTATCAAGCCCTTTTTCTCTGCTCTAATAATGGGTTTGATAAATCAAGTTAGATGTATTTCACATGAAGCCCAAAACATTGACTCTGTAAGCTATCAGTATGAGGGTTTTTTCTGTACTCTTAAGAGATACACTAATTTCCCATTTCTTTTACGTCTACTTTATAAACGAAGTATTAATATGATTTCTTGGCCTCTCATTAACTCATTTGTTAACCTTTGACCCAAATGCATAATATATAATCATTATTTTATTTTAAAATGTCTTGTAATAGAAACTAGCCAATTAGCTAACAGATTTAAATTCATTACAGAACCCAGATACAGTTGTGATTAATTATATTTTCTATAAAATGATAACTCATAGTAATTAGCTCTGATGACTGGAAGTTAATGTTTTTCCCATATGCATTTGGAATTCTACTTAACAGCTAAGAGCTTTGAGTAACCAGTGTACCTACATTAAACAAATATATTTAATTAAGTTATCTGAAATAATTTGTGCCCAAAATATTTCTCTATTATAAAAAGTTAAGAAGTTCTTAGCAATGATTTTATTTCCCATTATTGTTATAAATCAGTATTTCTTGAACCTCAACAATGACAAGAATAAAATATCCATAAACATCTTTAGACACTCAGTGTTAACTACCATAATTTTGTTTATAATATTCTGTAAATAATATTATGATTAGCTATGCATTAGTGTACAACTCTGTACCATGATGTAATTAAAGTCTACAAAACTACATAATTTGTAGCATTCAATCAAAGTCATTATGGTCTCAGATATTATTGTGCAATAAAACATACTGTCTTTAAATTAAACAAATAACTATTAATGATGGAAATGTGATACTAGTGAAGGTTCTTTTGCTTGTTGTGGGTTTGCTACACCTGTACAGGATTCACTATTTTCTCACCACTGCTGTTTATCTAAACCATAAAACCTTTATACAGCACATAAAATCATTTTAATTTCATTTAGCACAAGACTTCATTTACACATTATGCAAATCTACTTTCTAATCAACTGTGATATTTTATGAGGTTAAAAACATATTAAGAAACATATTAAAAACCCTTAATAAAAATGTATTCCTTTAAAGTGTTGCGAATTATATATGGGAAAGTGGGTTTTTTTGGTGACATTGGGATTGAACTCAGGGCCTTTGCACTGAGCCACATTTCTATCCCATTTTATTCCTTTTATTTTAAAACAGAAGTTTGCTAAGTTGCTTAGGTGGGCCTCAAACTGGCAATGCTTAGGCCTCACCCTCCCAGCATGCTGAGATCACAGGTGTGTTACACAATGACCCACTGTGGATTTTCTTTCTTTTTAATTGTAAAGAAATTTCACAAAGATGAAAAAAATCATCTAGAGACAATTATTGCCATTTTGATTTTAGAATGACCTAACAAAATTAAAAATGAAATATTTGAATTTTGGGTGATGGCTTTGTACCTACATTCCAAACAGAGAAGAAAAGGTGAGCACCAATATTACATGGGTTATAAGATGATAGTTAATATGTTTAATTTGATAAATATTGTTTTTAGGTTATTAGCAATGTGAGAGCAAACAAACTCCATTTCTGCCCATAAAGATGTCATTCCCAGTGGGATCAACTTTGGTGAAAAAGCACAAAAGTGAAGATAAATTACAGAATAAACCTGAGACATTGGATTAAAACAAGAGAACAAGATAGAATGATGCAAATAAGCAGACAAGCTAAGCACTATAATTGTCCCCACATTCTGACTGGAGAAACCTACATCACAATACACGAAGTAAGATTATAAACATGGTGCCAGCAGTGTTACCAGTCTTGAGAATGAAGAAGGAAAGAAAGAAGGAGCAGGGGAGGAGGACAAAAGAAGGAGGAAGAGAAAAATAGAAATAAGACAAATAGGAAGAACAAAAATGAATCTGAAGGATTTATAGAGCTTGATTTCAAGACTTACTAGAAATTTCTACAATGTGTGGTATTAGTATAAACATATCAATAAATCAGTGGAACGAAAGGCTGAATTTAATGCTAAACCAAAACACTTGCATTTGATCAGTTAAAAAAAAACACTTTTGAAAAATTGATTTGGATGTAAAATTTTTGATCAGTGCTTTTTTTTCAGCATTTCAACAAGTTCTGGGATTTATGCAGATAAATTTGCTGGTATTCAATTTATTGTTCCTTTGCCTGTAATTAATGTCATTTTTCTCTATTTTCAAGATTCTCAACAGTTTAAATACAATGTTCCTAGGCATTGTTTGCTTTTATTTTATTGTATTTGTATTTACTAAGCTAATTAAATCTGTAAATGTATGCCTCTTATTAAATTTGGAAGTTTTCAGACATTTTTGTTAAAATATTTTTGACAAAAACTTTTATCTCCCCACTCTTTCTTTTTTTTGGAGACTTTCAGTACTCACGTATTTTACTTCTTGAAACTTTCCCTCAGTTCTCTGATGATCTCTTTGTTTTGTTCAGTCTCTTTTCCTCTCTTTCAGATTGCATAATCTTCATTGGCTCTTCCTTGTATTATTATTTTTTTTTGCTACTGAGACAATTCAGGGAATTTCTTTTTAGAAATTCAATTCTTTACATAAAAATTTCTATTCTTTTATTTTGTATCCCTTTAATGAGATTATTTTTTTCATTCAAATGACATCATTTGGATTTATCTCACTAGGTTGAATTAAAATGCTTGTCCTGAGTGTTTATCTTATAAGTTTAGTACATCTGTTAATTTGGTGTTGGGAACCAATGACTGACTTTTCTTTTAAGGTTCTATCACATTTTCCTGGATTTTTAAATGTGAAGTACCTGTATTGTACATTCTGGACATTGTAAACATTGTTTGGATTCCAGATTATGTCACAGGCCCTAAAGTATATACATATAGAAATTTTTAAAGGCAATTAACATGGTTAGACTGGTTAACATGGTTAACATGGTTAGCCATTCAGGTGTCTGTGTTGTTCTCCAAGTCTTAGTTGTACATGCTCTCAGTTTACTTCAGATAGAGATGGTTCAGGGAAGAGCATGGTCTTATGGAAAATTTGTGCATGCAATTAAGTATTTCTGGGAACTTGTTTTTAATCAAGATTTTCTCTCCATCTTAAGAGATCATTATTGGCACTGGACTTTGTCTTCTGCTTTCAGAAAGATGTGAAATTTTCTGTCACAATTTGAGCTGCTTGACATTACCACCAAGGTTTAAATTTCACTTATTTTCAATATAGAGGAATTAAACACACACACACACACACACACACACACACACACACACACACAGAGTCTGCTGGATGTTTATGTTCTTTCTACAAATTGACTGTCTTTTTCAGTCTCCATAACCATTAGATATTTTTTTCCTCTTTGTTCCTTGTTTAGGATTTATGGTTATGAATGGGTTTATCAATTTGTTAGGCACTCACATATTGATGACTGTTCATCATCTACTAATTTCTAAAGGAGAAAAGCTCAGGGAAACTGCTATCTTTGTATGTGTTTGTGGCATATTAAACTTGGAATCCTGCTGGAAAGTTCTTACATCTATGTTAGAAAGGAAGTAGTTCATGTGTCCCCCTGGAAAGCCTAAGAATTTTTCTTGATTCCTTAATTTAAATGAAATGTGAAGACTGACAGTATGAATTCCACGTTGAGAAGAGGCAAGGGCAATCATGTACTAACTCTATATTGATCAAAAGACCAGACTTGCATTGCTGTGCCAGTCCCTGAGTCTCACTTGGTTTCAATTTTTCTTGAGTCTTTCTCTTCTCTCTCATACCTATGTGGTAATATTCCTTGTTAATGCCAATCACTCTCCAGCCAGACATAACCTGTTTCTTTCCAGGCCTTGTTCTGTTATCACAGGCTGTATCCCAGCAAACCAAATTCTTTCTTCAACACCATGAATATAGCTGACTATTCACTTCTCCCATCTTCCCTCTTTTCTTCAAAATTGCACTCTGGAAAAGGAAATACAAATGCACAATGAAATTAAACTGAAATTTAAAATCTTTCACTCTCTTATTCAGTGCTTTTAATTTTCTATGAATTCTTATTTTTTTCTTTCTTTTAAAAATAGTTTATATTATGAATCTGAAAAAAGAAGCAGTGGACAATATATATGATGGATTTGTCAGGGTCTTGCTTCATTTTTTTGCTTGGAAACTCTTTTTACAATGAAAGTGTTCTATCAGGAAGTTAATGACATTCTTTTTTAAAATTTTTCATATTTATTGATTGAATGTTTATAAAAAAGCATCAAAATTTTCAACATCGACTGTTTTTTTGTTTTTTGTTTTTGGCTTTTTTTTGGTACCAGGGATCAAACCAGGACCTTATACTTTTGAGGCAGGAGCTAGAACCACTGAGCTAAATCCCCGGCCCCAACATCAACTGTTTTTTGGTGGACAATGTCTAAAAAAGAACAACACAAATAAATTCTTATGTGAAAAGCACCAACAGCGATTTACCAAAAAATATTCAATTATCACACCTAAGGCAGCCTGCACACATGACAACACATTCCATACACATGTATCAGTTACACTACAGCACATCTGTTTTGCTTTCCTTGCTTTCTTTGTAGGACATACTTGATATCTCATTGGTCTGGCTGTTTTTTCAGGAGTTTTTTATTATACAGTGTGTAGTTAACAGGAGCATAAAGTATTAAATTCTTTTTTTTTTTGTACTGGGGATTGAACTCAGGACCTTCTACTTGCAAGGCAGATGCAGTGCCACTGAGCTAAATCCCTGGCCCAGTATTAAATTCTTAATATGTATTGTGCATTTAGAACAGACATCAACATTTTCACATCAGCTGTGTACTTCCTTAGAAAACCTGTAACGTCAGAAATAAATTCCTATATGAACAACAGTGAAAATACCAGTAGAATTCTACAACAAAAATAATCTTTCCTTCAGTTGTCACCCCAAGGCAGTCTTCACACATGACAACTGCACGTTCCTTACACACGTCTTGCTCACACTGACAGCACATGTGCTTAGCTTTCCTTTCTTGTGTGGCAGTCTTCTCACCTCTCTCCTCTTCCTGTTTTGTCAGGAGCTTCCTACTACATTGTACAACATGCACTTAACAGGGAAATACATTATCAATAAAATAAAATATCAAATATGTAGTGAGTGCTTACAATAGACATCAACATTTTCACATCAGCTGTTTACTTGCTTGCAAAACCTAGAGATAACAGCAGAAATAAAAACCTATGTGAACTATAATGTAAACACAAACAAAACTCTACCACAGAAATAATCTTTGCCCCAACTATCACTCCCAAAGCAGTCTTCATACACAACAACTGCATGTGCCATACACAAGTATTGCTTATATTGATGCCACGTATGTTTTGTTTCCCTGTCCTTTCTTATAGGGCATGGTTGACATCTTTCTGGTTTTCTTTTTGTCTTAGTAGGTCTTTGTGATGCTGCACCTGTCAGCTCACCAGTGTGCTCCACAATTTTTTGTGTGTATTTCCCTGGCCCAAAACATTTTGTTTTTCCTCTGCTGTAAATGATCCCTTATGAGTTCCAGTCTCAGTCCTCTAATAAATTTTTCCATGACATTTTGTACTTGTTATTTTCTTTCTAAACTCTAAAACTATTTGTGCCACATGTTTAGGGTTGAATAAAACACAGTCATTGGCCAATGGTTTGTGTTTCGAGTGACATTTCAGTTGCTGCATAATTCATCAACAAAATCTACTCCACCTTTGGTTTTGTTATAGAAAGTTCCCATCTCAGGCTTTTATTTTGTCGAGGTTTCCATATCAGTGTTTTCATCATGGTGCAATGTTGACATCTGTAGTACCAGTTTATTTTTCTTTGACATGTATGAGGCCAATGTAAATCTTTCTGAAATCCAAAGACTGTGTTATACAATTCTCTGTTTTGAAATTGCAACACTTCATTTGGAATTTCTGCTTTGTTTCTGCATACTGTTCCTGCACTGGTCAACTTGTGCTCTGTTAGCAAATGTAACATCAATTGGAAACTGGTAAACTAATTGTTGAATATCACATTCCAATTAATTTGGGAGATGGGATCAACAAGTCTGTTCACAACATCATTTGGTTTAGTACTATACAAATAAGGACCTGATGGCTGAGTTCCAGGATGAACAACTTAAATTGAAAGCATAATAATTCTTCGCATCTGCAAGACCATAAATTTTTATGCCACATTTTGACCCACTGCTTTTCCATAAATCTTTTACATTCCTATGATTACCATGAGAAATCTCTGCTAAGTACAGCAGACCTATGAAAGCTTTCAGTTCAGCTAGTAAAGTGTCATAATAAATACAGTTTTGAATTCTGTGCATCCAGAATGTTTTACTTCCATTTCAGCTTTTGTGTATTTTATAGCATCTTGTAGCATTTCTTCTGTTACAATTTCCAATACTGAATGGTAGTGTTAGTATTCTGTCCTTTACATTTCACCCCTGCCAAGACTCTCACTATATTTTTAGACTTAGTTCTAACATTGGGTCATTCTATTTGCTTGTGTGGCCATTTTGCAACATTCCGACTAGTCAGATATGTACTCACATTTCTGTTTTCTTCCTCATCTGAATAATGGAGGTTAGGATTCCCTGTGTCTGTGTCAGTCAATTCATGCTCCATTACATTGTCATGGGAACTTTGGCTCACATGGCCAATGTCAAAGTCAACATCATAATATACCCAACATCACTCTTCCATTATGAAAACATGTATTTTACCATAATGAATCATCATCATCATCCATGCATGAGTAATCTGATGATACACTTTTGGCCTTCTCCAAAACTTGGAAATCTGGTTTTTCATGTGCCGTTGTACTGAATTGGGCTACGTATACTCTTTCATGTTTTTTGTCTTCACAGTTTTGTATGAATAATATGCAGGATAAAGCAACCCAAACACCAGCACGACAGCTCCAGAGATGACCCAGGACACCGTCTTCCAACAGATGCGGCAGCCTGAGCTGCGCTGCGGTCAGTCAGTTAATGACATTCAGTCATATTTTAGAATAGTTTCATTCCCTAATGTACAGTTAAATTTGATGTTTCCTGGTCACTTTCAGCTCTAAGGCACAAGGATAAACTTTGTCACATTATCACATCATGCTGGAAAGTGGCTATTATTTGTATTGAACTATATATTTTAGAAATAAAAAACTCAAGCTACATAGAAATCATCTACAGAATAATGGATAAATCCTTCCTCTTTTAAAAAAATCACAAAATTAAAGGATCCCAGGTTAATACTAAGCAGCTGATTTATTGTTTTAGTATACAAGATATTTGCCCATAATCAAACACAGGCTCCATACAGAAAAGTCATGCTGTAGTCTAAGAAGCCAAAATAAAAATTAGTCTTATGCTGAAAGAGAAGCCATTATGGTTTTCTTGATGATATTAATGGCATGTTTTATTCCTTCGCAATATTATAGGACCTAAATATTTTCATGGTGTTCATTTCCTTCACCTGAGAAAGAGTACCTTGCTCTTTGTAAATCTTAGGGCATATGTTGTGGAGTAATTTGATTCTCAAACCTTACTGAGTTAAGAGAGCTTCATTTCTTTGATCAGAAGCTGAGAAGTGACAGCTACTATGGTCTCCAGATCCTGTCTGCCAACCACTGGCTTTCATGATAGTTCATGCTGCCAGTGGACAGAGACCGATTATTTTCTGGTTCCCAATTTCTGAGTCGCACACTGTAGGTTAGACCAGCCTATAAAGTTGACTTTGTGTATACAGAGCTCTGAAATGGCATAATCAACACATTTTTCTTCCTGCACATAGCAGCAGAAAAGAAGAACATGGTCTATTAATTGATCTGCTGAAATGCTGGTCTGCAGAGAAATAAATCTTTCAACCCTTGAGTTACAAGGACTGTAGTTTTCCTAGGGCAGTGAGAGTCCTTTAATTTGCTTTTTGAGGCAAAGCCAAACCTTAGTTTTCAGTATGCTCATATATTCAGGAACACTGGAAATCATTTCTACCCACCTACTATCTTAATAATTATTACTTTTTCTAATATTAGATTCTCCTACTCTGCAGGTTCAGGTTGCCTATCTCCAATAAATATTTCATTTAGATGAACTTTTAAAGTAAAACTAATTAAGGATATATAGATAGGCTTTAGTCAAACATATCTATTGCTTTAGCCAGTGGATATGAGTGGAAAAGAATGATCAAAAGCATAAAAACATTGCATGAATGGACTCATTATCTGACACTTTTGCCATTACCAAAAGAACATACAATTAGCCATCGGTTCCAAGGAGATGAGATATATTTGGAAGACAGCTACATGGCAGAGGTAAAAAACCTGCATGTTGGGAAATTAATTTAGCCTATAGAAACTAATTCTTAATTGAAACAGATTCATGAGCAAACTTAGCTAGTGTCACTGGAGTACTTCTGCCAATTTACAGTCAGAGACAGAATTGCTAAGATTTGTAACAAAAATACCCTTTTTCCTTGTAAATGTGTGATATTTTATTATAGACAATATCTCATTGACACAGAGTACTATTTTTTGTTCAAAATAATTATTACAAATTCAAATTAACTTAGAGCTCTCTTTAGAAATTCAATGACTTTAATCTCCCATAAATCTAAAACTGTAGTTACAAAATAAGACATAAAATTTTTAATGCACAAGAAGATATACCCTCCATTGTTTGAGAAACTAAAAGTTTATAAATAATTCATTTTCCTAGATCTACATATTGTTAATCACCCACTAAAAAAATAATGAAAGCATTCAAAGAAAGTTGACTTATTGAAAATTTTAGAACTTTTTTAACATTATAAATAATGTTAAATTATTATATGTCAATTAGAAATAAAATACAACTTAAATATTATGAATATTATGACAATATTCATGTAGAATACATAATTTAGAAGAGTTCAATATGTGACATTTAATATCAGTCTATGTAAGACAC